TCTTTGCAACGAGACAGAGAATATTGCATTAAAGAATGTTACGCAATACAAGACCTTAGAGTGCAGGTAATTGAAATGACACTGCCACTGCAACAAAATGTTCCAACTGCACACATACATTAAGCAGGTGGCTGTTGGACTGCTGTCAGTTTTCATTTTAAAGTATTTACGCACAGTAGAGACACTGGCACAGTTCTGCCACAACCCTTTAGGGGCAGCAGTGTTGTGACACGGCTGACCTAAAACAACACAAACACCTCATCTGAGACCCCGCACCAATGCTGGAGACGACACGCACATGATGATATTAACATACCGTGGCTCTTCAGGGGGTTGTGCAGTAAAGGAACACCACTAAGTCGTTAATTTTTGGTGCCTTTAAGGCCCCATATTTAGAGACTGTATATTCCAACAAACATTTAATGTATTTCAAGTATAATTTTAGTTGTGGTGACAAAGTTAATTTTAGAAAAACAACTATTGTATTGCCTTGCTTTTATTTTTCATCACTCGCTCTCGTGTAAGGCGGACACTTTTTCTCCTCCTCCTGCATTTTTTGCTCTCGGTCTGTGTATCGGAGCTCCTACTTTACGCTTTTTCCTGAAAGTACAACTACTGTCATGGACCTGGTCAGCTGGACTTTCAACGCAATCGATAAAATCTTTTCAACAAAGCGACAGGGTCTTCGATAGCTCTCATGCCCCGCTGAGACGCACACGGTAGGATACATCATGGATCCGTGGTGAGATTGGGAGCTGACGTGTCTTTCTATATTGACTCAGGAGGACGCCGAAGATGTTTATTTAATTAGAACCATGATAGCAGAGTTTCTGCTTTTTGGCATCGGTGGATTCCTGTGTTATCGGCTATTATAAAAGACAACGGCAGCAGTTTCGGCCATGGCAAAATTGTCAAGTCTGTGTGAAGGTTTGGCTCGTGCTTTGAGTGCTCAAAATCAGCTGATTTACGAGCTCAACCATAAGTTGGAAGCAATTTGTGAGAATCGCAGGCCACCTGCGGCTTCTGGGACTCGCCAGCATGTTGGGGAGGACCTTGGAGGGGGCTCATGAGCAAGGACCAGTGGAATGCCCTCAAATCTGGCCATTTTGGGATTGAAAGTTCCAGCAGGACTCATGACTGGCAAGGAAAAAACAGTCTGCCTGAAAAAAATCAACAATTGTGGCTTATCTGAATCTGACTCCCCCGTGTTGGCCTCAAAGCAGGCTGACTTATCAAATTTCAAGTTTTCTTGTGTTTTCATAAGGAAGACATACCAAAGGCAGTAAAAACAAAGTGTCTTTATTTTGTTGAGTTTTAATGTTTCCAGGTCTACTTTGTACTTTTAAGACTAAGTTGGTCATAAATTGTGAAGCAAATTATCCAACTGTAGAACCAAAGCAGGCAGGCTGGTAGAAAACAACCTATAATAATTTAAAAACACTTGGGAAAAATGTAAAAAAAAAAAAATTTTTTTAATAGGAAAAAAAAACACTAGTTAAAAGTCCAAATTAACTCAATTTTAGCTAAATGTACCAAAATGCTATATAAACGCTAAATGTGGCAATTAGACTAGTTCAAAGTTAAAAGAACTGAATCTTAGCTAAAAGTTACAAGTAGTAACATGCTAGCTATATTTAGCAATAGGCTAGCTAAAAGCTGATGTAGCAAAATTATAGATAGAAGCTAAAGTAGGCGGCTGTGGCTCAGTGGTTAGAGCAGTTGTCCTCCATTGCAAGAGTTGGGGGTTCGATTCCACCAGCAGTCACATGCCAAAGTGTCCCTGGACAAGGCACTGAACCCCTCGTTGCCTCCGATGATGGGACATATCCCATCACTGATCATTATTTGTACAGATATAGTAGAGTGCAGCATGAATGGGTAAATGAAGGCACAGATTGTGCTGTAAAGCGCTTTGTGCATCTTGATAAGATAGAAAGGTGCTATATAAGTACAGTCCATTTACCATTTAAAGTAGCTAAATATTAGCTAAACGCTAAATGTAGCTAAAGACTAGCTCAAAGATTAAAAAAACTGAACAATAAAAGTTAAAGGGGTAGCTAAAAGCTCATGTATCAAAATGCTAGTTAGAAGTTAAAAGTAGCAAAACAAATTCGCTAAAAGCTTAAAGTAGCTGAGTGGTAGCTAATAAAAGCAGAACAGTAACTAAATGCTAAAAAAATACACAAAAAGACAAAAATAAAAGTAGAATCAAAAGTAGAATTCAAAGAGAACAATGTTTTGAAGTATTGGAAGAGACCTCAAAGTATTTATATGGGAAAGCTTGAATAGTTTAAAAATGTTTAAAAGTTACAAAAGCCAAAGTCATAGGGCTCGTCTCCTGAACGAGCTGAACCTTTTACATATGAATGGCTAACATAGCTGTAAAGGTGTAAAAACCACATGAAAAATAAAAACAAGAAAGCAATACTGTGAATGCAGAACTCACACAATAAAACAAAATCTAAATATTGTAAAAAATAAAAAAACAGCTGATTTCCTGTTTATATCAAACCATTAAAAATACAGGTTTTAAGGTTGCAGCAGGAGCCACAAAATGAAATATGTTTCTTTCTGGCTGGCAGGTTTAAAATGTCAGAGACTTTGTGGGATGTTTCCAGCTGAAACTAGCTTACTGCCATCACAGGTGGTGATGACCACCTGGCAGCACATTTCAGCACCTCCTGGGACACTTCAGAGGACAGCAGAGCTGCAGCTCAGACAGTCAAGGTAAACAGACAAGTGCATTAGTCTGCTCACAAAGCCTCGAACATCAAATAAAACATTTGTTCTCCCTCATCTCTCATCAGGCTGATTATATTTGGGGTCACTGTTTAAAGAATATAACCTCCTATCAGTTGTAGGTCTGTTCAGTCCCACCTCAGTATCTGAAATAAGCATACATTTATTTATTTATTTATTGTTTTAAATAAATCAGATCAGGAGTAAAAGTGACGATCCATTCACACTATTGTTTATTCCAGTTTATAGTTTTTGTACATTTTTTTTTCTTTTGCAATCCAAGTACTTCTGCACACATTGAGCTATTATAAACATTTGTTTCAAAATTTCTCACTCAAAACAAGTATTCTATAAACTTTTTTTAATGTGTTTTATTTATTATTGTACTCTATTAATCCCCAATGGGGAAATTAATTCTCTGCATTTTTCCCTATTGCACATGTGAGCACACATGTGAAGCAGTGGGCTGCCAGGGTGCCTGGGGAGCAGCTGGGGGGATGAGGGCCTTGCTCAGGGGCTCAGAGTGGGGCAAATAAGGGTGGAGGCAGGTGTGGGTGTTTCACCTTTTCCACCCACATTTTGATGTTGTCTGTCAGGGGAGTTGACCGGCGACCCTCCGATCACAGGCCCACCCTCCCTAACCTCTGCGCCACCACTCCCCACTAACTTCTAGTAACTTCTAGTATATATAACTATTAATTTTTGAAGTATTTACCCTTTCTGAAAAGTATTTTCCTATAGAAATACGTTGAGGTTTTCTCAACTCCTCACATAAACTGAACTCTGAAATCTACCTCAGCGTACGTGTGCTGTTATTCTCTTGTTAGCTGTCCAGCTCGTTTGAGCTTGCATCTTCAGTTTTGATATATTTAGCTGTTAGCTGCAGTTTATGTAAGTTGAGCTTTTAGCTGCAATTTACCTCGTTTTTACTTTTAGCTATAGGTTGTCTAATTTTAGTCTTAACAACATTTTTTGACAAACTTAGCTTTGTTAGCTCTGTTCTGTTTGCTTTAACTTTCATAATTCAGTTGCTGTTTCATTCTTCAACTAATTTCAGTGAAGTCATTCAGCACTCAAACAAAAAAAAATCTAGTTTGGATAAAAGGGCGGCCTGGTGGTGCAGTTGGAGGAGCTGTTGCTTCTCAGCAAGAAGGTCGCCAGATCGAATCCCGGCCGGGGGTCCATTCTGGGTGGAGTTTGCATGCTCTCTCCGTGCATGCGTGGGTTTCCTCCGGGTGCTCCTGTTTCCTCCCACAGACCAAAAACATGCATGTTTGACTGATTAGTAACTCTGAATTGTCTCTAGGTGTGAAAGAGAGTGAATAGTTGTTTGTCTCTATGTGTCCCTGTGATGGACTGGAGACCAGTCCAGGGTGTCCCCCACCTCTCACACAGTGATGGCTGGATATGGACACACCCTTGTGACCCAAAAAGGAAGAAGCAGGTAAAAGATGATGGATGGATGGATGGATAGTTTGGATAAAGTTTTATTTGCCACACTGACATATTTCCATGACATCTTTTTAAGCCATTCATGCACAACGGAAACATCTACTATTGTTAACTTTGAATAAATGTGCTGCTTCAGGACTCAGTGCTCGCACAGCGCACAGCTTGTTCTTACGATCAAACCCATCTTGTGATCTCTCTGACTCTTTGTCCCTGCATTTATTTCCTGAAGTTAGAGGACGGTGTTAAACACAGATATCGAACACTGCAAAAGTGTGGAAACAAATTAACTTGTATCTCAGTAGAAACATATACTTTTTCCTTGTTTTTATATCTGACAAAAGTCCTTTGGTTGCTACTAATCACTTATCCCCAAGAACAATGCGTAAAGAAACACTGAACCTAACCATATACAATAATAATAACGTCTTATCGTATTTTGCTGCCTCACAAACACTCCATATTGTGGGAGCGAGACCAGCTCAGGTTGTTGAGATGCAGCAAACTGCACACGTCCTGACTGATCTAACAATATAATAGATGAGGTTATTTAAACTTGGTGAGCCTACACTTGCGGCTTTAGTAAAATGGCTTTTATGAAGTTGTTTTCCACAGCAGCCCACAATAAACATAGAACAAAAGGCAGAAGGGGGATTCATTTCATTCTGCTTGGCTGGAGACGTTACTTATGCGCATAATTTCTATTTAAATAAATGAACCAAACAAAATAAGAAAGAAACTCCACAAAACAAACAACAGAAAGAGAGCCGAGTTTTCACACTGGGACAATAAAAAGTATGTTAGGGACTTACGATAAGGTCCTCTCCAGCCGTCCTCCTGTCGAGCCGATTATTTCCCCAAGCGTACAGAAGGTTTGGCCCAGAAAGTCCTAGCAAGTAAAAAGGCACACGCATTATGCGTGGTAAGGCTGTGACATGATCCGAAACAGGCTGTAATTAAAGGCCTAGCATTCTGGGAAGGAATGCACATCGCCTGCTGCAGAGTTTTCAAATTAGATCTGTCTATGTATGAAATGAGTTGTAGCTGTTCTGATCAAACCTTGAAAACACTGTTCTGTGATGTCTGGTCGTTTAGGGTCGCAGCACTTTCAATAGCTGATTTAGCATGAGGGTGGCATGGTGGCGCAGTTGGTAGAGCTGCAGCCTCCCGGCGAGAAGGTGCCCGACCGAGTCCTGGCTGGGGAGGGGGGGGGGGTGCTTTCTGGGTGGAGTTTGCATATTCTCTCTATGCATGCATGGGTTTTCTCCGGATATAGTAGTCCCTCGCTTACATTGCAGTTCCTTTATCGTGGGCTAGCACTATTGCGTTTTTTCAAAATAAGATTGGACATGACACACAATTGGCTGATTGATGGATGACCCACACAATCGACATGAAATTTTTATTTAAAATAAATCATTTTAAACTATGTAGCACTTGCTGCACATTTGTGTAGCCCAGAGCTGCAGGATAATAATAATAATAATAATGTCATCACAATGTAGCACTGTATGTTTCCATACAATGGCGAAATTAGTCTCTGCATTTAACCCATCCACCACCAGGTGGTGCAGTGGGCAGCTATTGAAAGCGCCCGGGGGGCATTTTGGGGATGAGGTGTGCTGCCCAGAGACGCCACGTGATGTGCAGTGACTGGGGATCGAACCTGGGACTTTCGGGTCCCAAGCCGGCTGCCCTGCTAAGCTTCATGCTGCAGCTGATCAGCTGTTCACCGTACAGAGTGGGAAAGTGGGCGTGGCCAAGAGCAGTTGCAGGTGGCTGAGAGCAGCGAAGACAGAGAGCTGAACTCATGATATTCTGTGCTCTTTTAGAGCATTTAGAGTTTAGAAACATTATTTAGAATATTGCAAGAATGTGGGAAGGGTTTAAAATGGGGGGAGTGGTGGTGCATTGGTTAGAAGATGGGTCTGTGATCGGAAAGTCGCAGGTTCAACTCCCGGTACCTTCAACATCAAAATGTGGGTGGAAAAGGTGAAACACTCACAACTGCCTCCACCCTCATTCGCCTCACCCTGGGCCCCTGAGCAAGGCCCTTAACCCCCACCATTTGCTCCCTAAACAAGTCTCTTGAAAATGAGTTATTGTGACTCAATGAGACTACCTGTATAAATAAAGGGTAAGAAAAAATGCCATATATATATATGTTGCTGCTGATCTGTTTCATGTTGCTGCTGATCTGTTTCAATGTTGATGTGTTCCTGCGTGCACATCTGCTCACAGACTCATGTTTGTGCTGATGTTTTATGTTATGAGTGCTTAGTGTATATTTAGTTGATGTTTTTCTTAGTTCATATCTTAGATGTTATTACTGTTTTTCTTATACATTTTATTGTTGGATGTAACTGGTACCCCGTGTACATAATTTCGCTCCACCACATGTACCACATGAGGTGCGAATGACAATAAAGAAACTCTGACTCTGACTCTGATATACATAATAAAACAAACAACTACTTACTACTTGTACTACTATTCCTACTTGGCGGTTTTTCACTTATCATGGGTCTTCAGGGTACGGATCCCCCATGATAAACGAGGGACTACAGTGCTCCGGTTTCCTCCCACAGACCAAAAACATGCATGTTAGACTGACTGGTAACTCTAAATTGTCTCTAGGTGTGAGTGAGAGAGTGAATGGTTGTTTGTCTCGTTTGTCTCTATGTGTCCCTGTGATGGACTGGAGACCTGTCCAGGGTGTCCCCCGCCTCTCACACAGTGATGGCTGGATATGGGGACCAGCGACCCCATGACCCGAAATGGAAGAAGTGGGTAAAGATAATAGATTAATGGATTTAGCGTGAAGTTGTTTTCAAGGTTTGATCAAAATGACTACTACTCTATTTCTCAACATAGGCTGATCCACAACAGTTAGCGGGGTGTATGCGTTGTCCTTTCATTTTCATTCAGTGTTCCTGTTGGATCTTTGTAACGGATGGGATTCTGCTGCAGCAAGGAACCCTACACTGTGGCATCTATTGAGCAGTGGGACACAAGATTTTATAATATCAAGCTCACAAAAAGTGACAAGTCCTTCACAATTTTTAAAATTGCATAGAGCGAGCCGACCTTAAGATTTGATGGGTAAGCTCCACCCAGTAAAACCACTGTGATAATACAGGAGATAAAATGCTTGACGGCAATCATGAACAAGTGTAAAGATTGATGGGGACTGCGTCAAAGATATTAAAGTCATTAAAGTTCAATCTCATCTCACTGAACGGCAATTTTAAACTGAACATTAACTTTACGACTTAATTCCACTTGTTACACGTATATGCATGCGCTAACCCAGTGAGGTCACGATTTATTAAGAGTTGTATCGTTTAACTGCTCATTAACCAATTGATCATTCTTTAACAGACCAAGCTGCTAAAAAAAAAAGAAGTGCTGATCATCAGAGCAGAAGAGTTTATAGCCTCGCCAAACATCACAGAGAAAAACACGTGGCAACATAAAAAGCAGGCTTGACGTAGAATGATAAAACAGAAAGCACATCAATAAATAATGATGTTTGTGGCGCGTGGGCTTGAGGTCGACTGTAGGTGTGAGTCCCGTACACTGAACGTGCGTGTGTGGCCTCTGTAAGTGACCTGACGTGCACAATCTGCTCGTAGATTATTGCCTCGAAACAACAAAAGCAGCTCTTGCTTTGAAATGGAGTTCTGAAAGTTTTTTTTTTTTTTTTTTTACCTGAGGCAATGAGAAAATGAAGACAGACAAAATGTGGTACAACACAGAGTGGGGAAGCTTTCCAGGTGTTGGTGCTTGTCCGTGATTGGATAAATAGGATGAAAGAATGGGAGAAAACACAATGAGAACAGTGAATGAATCACATCACTAAATTACCAGTTGCTACAGGATGCTGCTAAACGACGAGTGAAACAAACAACGGATAATACTGTTGCTGCAGGTTAAAGCACTCACCTTCTGCTCTCCAAAAAAATTCATTTTGGCAGAAAAAGAAAGGGACAAACATTAATGGAAAGACACAAACTGCAGAAAGCTCAAATTTGATTTACTGTATTATTTACTTTTTCTATAGTATTTATGAATATGTATTTGTGATTACAGCCTTACTTTAATTTTAACTTTTATATTTTTTTAATTGATTTATTTATTAAATTTACTTATTGATTTAATTTCTATAACAGTAGTACGATGCTTTGGCTTGGATAAAAGTTGTCAGTATAAACTTTACGTACGTGTTTGGATATGTTACAGCTTCGAGAGTCCACATTGTACCTGTGACAAACAAATCAGTCAGTCAACAATAAACATTTATGAATCAGCCTTTTATGATTATTTTATCATTCCAGCTGAAAAATAACATTTACTAAAGAAAAGTCAAACTAGTTTTTAAAGCATGGATTTATTAAAAAGTAAAGTCAGCCTACTCACACGTCAAACCTTAAATTTTGTTTCTCTTCAAAGAAGAAGTCCAGGACAAATTTCCTTACAAAGTCTGGATTCCGAGTGTTATCGATGACCTCTGTCCTGCCAAACTATAAAAAGAGGAAAAACAGAAAAATAATTATATCACGTAGAATCTATAGGTATTGTCTAAAGGGTGAAGGTGAGTCATAATGGATTTGTCTAGGTGTATGATTGTTTCTGTTACCAAAATATCTAATTAACCACTAAACAAATTGTATTAAACCTTTAGAAATGAATTATTACATAGTCATCTTCAAGTGATTAAGCCAGGGGCAAAATCAGGTCCATGGGTGAGCTCAGTTCAGCCCACCAATGGGTTTATATTTAAATAAAACTAGATTTTAAACCATAAAACAAACTTATTCAATGGCAATAACTGCTGGATGTCTGGTTCCTTAACTCTTGGTTTTTAGTAACTGAACAGTAACAGAACTTGAATTGCCCTGGATTAAACTTTGTAGTCAAGTCCATTAAAGATGGCCTCTACAGCTCATTGACAAAAGCCAACATAGAAATGGCTCTACCTCAATGAATTTTAACAACACTGAACGTCTCATGTGTTAGCTACTGACACTGATCCCAAACAAAGTATTTCAGTTCTAACAGATCTTTGTTTAAATTGGTGCCGAAAACTTTTTGGAGTCAACTCTATTGGTTAGCAAAATAGCTCAGGAACCACTGGATGGATTTTAATAAGAATGTCAGGGAATATTTATTGCACACCAGTTGACTATGGAGTCAACTTAATTCAAAGCAGCTGTCATAGCTAGTCAAATTAGCCAACACAACAATGGTTATAACTCAGTCAGTTTTACAAATATTGAGGTAAAGTTGATGTGGTAGTAGCTGAGAGTCAAGTACATACAACTAACAGTACATCTAGTTAGAATTTACATTGTTGTGTTAGATTAGACGTTTCAAGGTTTTCCAAAACTATTAGAATTCTGTCTTTCCTCGACAAAAGTTGATCTTAGTTAATTCGCCTTGTTCCTGGGGGCTCTACCGTATGAATGATTCTGGTACAACTTCCTGTCAGACACAGGAAGTAGCAGTAAACATCGGTTAACAATGGTAGCGGAGCACGGACCGTGGTTTATTTGAAAGTAATTTGCATTCAGTTTAGAAAATAAAACACAGTTTTTGTTTTGTTCACATTAATTTAACAACCATAAAGTTTACTAAAATAGCCGTGCTGAGTTCAGGTACCTGTTGTGTTTGTGGCTGCACGAAAAATCAGGCCAAACTAAATCAGTGGCTACAACAGCAGAGTTTTGAACACAGACCCAATACGAAAAGAGTGTTCCTGTGAAAAGTGGTATAGTTTCCATCTCCTACCTACAGATGAGGAATTAAGAAGAATGTGGCTGAAAAATGTGAACTTGAAGAGAAAACCCAAAACTCTGTATGTGAGCTCATTTCACTTTGTTGACAAATGCCAACGGAGGAAAACCTGCATCCTACTTTGTGTCTGGACTAGAATAAACCACTGGAGAAGAGATGCCGGATCCTCAGAAGGATTGAAAACAGTGACAAGAACATCAGGTATGATTTCATGTGTACGGAGGACACAGCTTTATAGTATTTGTTCGTCTTCAGTATTGTGATTTTCTCTGTAATCAACCAAAGCTCAGTGATGGAGGACTTTAAAGCTTTGGCTGGTCTGTGTCTGCTTTAAGGTAAATAAGATTGTGTCCCACCTCTTTTAACAAAACAAGTCCGACCTTATTACTGTTGATACTAATACACCTCAGAACTTTTCAGGTTGTTCATCACTTCACCGTCGGAAGCAACCGTCAGTTAAGTAGCTAAATATGCTAGTAGATGTAACCTGCAGCCACTTCTTCAGCTCATCCTCCAACCCTCATCCTCACTAGGCAGCGCTATGATCATATTGTCCTGTTTGAGCTCTGACAGGTGGTGTTCCTACACGTTTAAATGAAATCCACTATGCACAGAGAAACTACATCAGCTCGTACTGTTCGAACTGGAAGTCGCGCAAAAAATTCACACAAGGCAGCATGTGGGCGAGGAATAAGGTGGATAACTCAAAACTGAAATGTGTCATGCAACATGCATTACTTCATGGAGGGCTTGGCCTTCAATTATTGAATGGTAGTAACATCAAAACAGTAAATTAAACCCTTAGAATATTACACTGCAATTATACAATCCTTGAATATGATTTTTTTTTTCTCACAAATATGTGATCCCACTGCAATATAATGAGATGTATGTGCTAAATGTTGGATCCTGGGAGAAATTAGATTTGTCCATTAGAACCATCATCTTCCCTCCTTGTGTACCCAGTTTTGCCCAGTCCTATCTTTTCTCCAGAGCCAGGCCTCTCTGTCACCCTGACAATCACACCAGTAATCCCCTTTGTGAACTGCTGGCCTTACATTGGTGGCGTGGCCTGACAGCACCATGTAATGAGCTATTGATTTTGGTACTGCCTCACCGTAGCCTCAGTGCCTTGACTCGTGTCTTCAGAGGCCAGCACACATAATCCATGCTATCAGCTGCCTCCCCAGCCTATCCATTACCAAGGCCTAGTGTATTTGGGCTCCAGAACTACCTGCCGTATCGACCCTGTGGGAGCAGCCCAGGTTTTGTTTTGTTTCTATTTTTGACATTATGAAGACCTTTGTTTTGTGATTTTACAGACATGATGGTTTAAAAGGTGGTAGATTTATGTCCGTGTAGATGATGGAATGGCTTTGTTTTTGCTGGTTATGGTTTTGTTATTCTAGGGCTCCAGTTAAAGTACAGGAACTCCTGGGTAATTCTGGGTAAGTCTGCACCGGATAAAAAGACAAACTGTAGATGCTAGTAAAGAAGGAACTCTTATGAATTAATTAATGTACTCTAAATTAAGGAAAAGGTGCTCAGCCTAAAATAAATTTGCATAAATTGAGGAAAAAGTTTTCAAGAAAAACAAAAATAAATAAATTTTATAAAAACAAAGCAAACAGCTTTACATTTTTCCACTTGGGTGGTTCCACTTCATTTCAATTTTGGGTCATCTACCAGAGGCCTGGGAGCTCAAGGGTTCTGTGCAGTATCTTAGCTGTTCCTAGAACTGCTCTCTTATGGACAGAGATCTCTGAGGTTGTTCCTGGGATCTGTTGGAGCCACTCTTCCAGTCTGAGGGACACAGCCCCAAGTGCTCCAATGAGCACTGGGACTACTGGCACCTTAATTGTCCACAACTTCTGTATTTCCTCTTTCAGCCCTTAGTATTTCTCAAGCTTCTCGTGCACCTTTTTCCTGATGTTACCGTCACTGGGGATTACTACATCTATCACCATGGTTTTCTTCTGCAGCCTCTCAACCATCACAATGTCCATTTGGTTAGCCATGGCTGGATCTGGAAGTCCCCACAATATTTTAGCATATATATATA